CAGGTTACATCTGGGGGAAAATGCTCCCTGCGAATCCGACAAATGGGACCAGAAACAGCCAAGCGAGCAAACGATTAGATCCACAAGTCTCATGATGCTTGTTCTGAAACTGAAAAAACAAAAATCCTGATTGTGAATTGGTTTGGCATTTAAGTTCAGGCCCAGAAAGGAGGAGAAGTGGTGCTGAAATGTCAGCGCTTTTTTGGAGTGGCAGCCATGCTGATGTGGTGACCTCTATGTGCTGTGGTTGAAAGGTTGGGGGGACTGCGGGACAAATGAGGAGGAGGTATCAGCTTTTTCTGAGTGACAGAAAAGGACGTTTTAAAGATCACTGCCATTCCTGGGGGTGGGTAAGCATCTCAGTGCCAAAATAAGAAGAATCCATCACATACCTAAAGGTAGTGTGTTTGCATCTCTGTTGACATGTTGACACTGTTATTTGTTGGGTAAAATATGGCTGATTACTAAGAGACATCTCCTTGCAAATGTGTCTTGAAACTTGGACATTAATAAGGAGTTCCAATCAAAAAATGACTATAATTTACACAAAAACACAAACACCCCAGTTGTGCATCTGTGAGCAACTTAATAAAGGGAAACCACAAGCAGCAGCACCAGTGATATGTGCAACCAAACACCTCCTACTGTCTCGGGGTCTTTCTGGAAGACCTCCAGCGCTCTGCTCCTTCATCTGTCCTAGACGAGTGTGTATTTTCAGACATGATACGCTTCTCAATGCATTTTACCATACATGAGCAGATCATGCCACCATCTATCTTTGTCAGCAGTGAAAAGCGTTCCTCTTTCTACAAGCACTGCCAGGCATTTTCCAATCTTAAACTCATTTTCAGCTTAAGAAATGCACTTTTAATACATGAAAAGAGAGCCAAGAAGAGCAAACAGAGCCTGTTCAGTGCTAAATAATAGGGTCTTTTTATGAGTGCATAATACAGTCTGTCTGCTCTTGCTTTATGTCCAACAAGTAAGGCAGCATTAGTAACCTGGCTCCGGTGCAGCAGCACTGTGTTTATGACTAAATGTTGTCCTCGGTTCATTTGCATGGACCTTTGCTGCTGCACAGGAGCCCTGGGGTGACTATCTGGACAGGCAGCCTACACTGCCAGGCTGTGAATATATTATAATACAGCATGCACACTGGGTCAGAACATTTTTGCCCAAAGAGATGCTACAAAAGCAAGCCTTTTATTTAAAGGCTTAAAGTTAAATCACAGTGTTTGTGCTGCCAGCCTGTCAAATACTAGACGATCATGACTATGGTGAGGCAAGGTGCATGTATAAGTTTGACATGGGACATTAGTGCTGTCAACTTCTGGAGACAGGGACTGCAGAAGAGACAATAGCTGTCAGTGAGCGATGCGCAAAACAATAGAGCACTATCACCGCCTGTAACATCTGCAAGAAGGCAGAGGGTTATCTAAGGCTATAGGATACAACAACATCTGGGAGGTAAGTGATAGGCAATCGACAGTAATAAACCCCACACGCAAAGTAGACCGTAAAAAAAGGAGCCACACATATTTCCACAGGCACCGGTGCGGCGCTTCAAGTGCAAGCGGCAGGAAATGTACTCACAGTCCTGAGGAACTGGATTTCATCCTCTCCTTCTCCACCTTCAGCCATGGCTGCAAAGGAGCCTGTTCAGACTCGGGAAGCCTCCGCTGGCTCCTCTCTCCTATCGATATTAGCATATATAGCTAATCCACGGCCATACAGCGGGGGAGACTACCGCAGCATGTGTCACTCAAGCCCCTGTGCTCACCGCCCGGAGGAGGAGTGTGTGTCAGCAGCAGCATCGGTGGGCTGGAGCAAGTGGGGACGGTGTGGCGGGGAAACAGGGTGAAGCCAAGTCGTGTAGCCGAGAGACAGCAGCGGGGTCTTTATCTTCGACGTCACCGGCAGACCTTATTAATACGAGCGTGGAAGCGCGAATATTCAAACATAAAGGCGTTAAATGCGGTGAAATAAACAGTAGCTAACAGAAAACTCGACAGCTTTTTGTTTTCCCGCCCTATCCCCAAGCGGTGGATTCACTGAAAACACGGTAATGTGTGAAAAGGAAATCGACAGGATGCAGGAAATTCATGGGAGCTGCTGTTTGCAGTCCTGGTCCTGATCAGCACCATGGTCAGCACTACACACATGCCTCTGCTCTGTGGGGACAAAATACCCATAGGCCACCATACACTATAAGTACAACTACAGTGTGTATATCTCAGCATTAGTGTCCATATATTTATACACACTTAATGTTATTAACACTGCTGACGTGGGAAAACATCCAAACATCCTCCAATATCAACACAAATCCAATTTCTGCAACTACAAATTACATTTTTTTGCCCTACAACATAATTAGCACACTGGTTGCCATGATGTAGCTATTGGATATTGTTGTTATTTATATATCACATTATAGAAAATCTCAAAAAGTGGTGAGAGGTGAGACCCAAAGAGCTGCAGAGCACATCCCACCCTGCAAAACTGACATTTAATCGCACATGCTAAACTATTTAAAACATTATGATTGGATGAATAGCAGCCGTTCAATTATTTAACATTAAATGAGATTAACTGCAATGAAATATTAATGAATGCAATGTAGGGTATTTTTCTTTTTTCTTATATGGAGTGAACAGAGGAAATCCAGTGATCTGGTCTTTGGTTACTCATTGTTAAAATCAAAGTTGACCCTCAGCTGAGCCCTAACGACGCCCTCCCATCTCCACAACTACCTTAAATAAACACAACCTGGTTTAGTGCCTTATATTAATGCGATGCCGCCCTCTAGTGTCTAAGATGTGACATAACACCTGCCCTCCTGATGGTGGATGTTTGCTTCCCTCATTTAAGTCTCTTTTTTTGAGGCACTTGATCCTTCCCTTCTCTTTACTCAGTCATACCCACTTCTTCTCAGGTAAGTCTCCCTGTCTTAATTATATATGTATATAACAAAAATATCAAAGAAATTATTAACTTCATAAATGTAATTGTTGATTTATAGTTACAGAATAGTTGATTTATACTTATAGAATAAGCATATACTTTGTTATAGAAGCTATTGACTGTTTTACCCCAAAAGAAATAATAAACATGACAGAGATGGGTTTGCCTTTTATAAGGGCATATATAGCAAATGGCACTGTTTTAATTTAATAAGAGTTCTTCTTTGAACACAGGCATATTGTCAAGGTGGCAATCACTTCTAAGGGCCCACTTCCCCCCACCTCACAGGCCCCAGTGCAACCGCACTGCCTGCACTGTCTATATTTACACCCCTGAATCAGGCTTGTGATAGTATTTATATTTCTGTACCCCCTGTAAAGTTCATCTAAAGTATCTCAGTCAACTTATGACAGTGTAATCCTGCTTTCTTGGCTTCTGGACCATGGGTAATCAACAGGCTACATCTGACTGATCTTTAATTTACATCAACACAGCAGACTCTCCACTTACAGTAACTGCTGCACATTACTCTGAGTCTGTTACACTTACACATGTCCCCCAATAAATAAATAAAGTGCATTAAATGATAACAGAATGATTATTATGTGTAAAGATAAAATTTAATTCTTTAGGTCCATCATAACAATGTGGAAGTATTCCTCCTAATATGTTACATCTGCACAGAGTATAGGCTGGAAGTCCCAAGGTCAGAACGGAAGACACCTCCTTAAATGGTTGAGAATGACCAAGCTAAGATCCTGTGGGACTTCCAGATCCAGACTGATGGCTGCTGATGGCTAACCAACCAGAAAATTGGTCGATCAACAAAAAACAGAAGAAAGCAGTGGTGATAGATGTAGCAAACCCAAGCGACAGCAACATCAGGAATATCTGGGTAAAAGATGTGGAGAGTAAAGGCAACAGGAAGAAGTAAGTGGTGCCAGTAAAGAGCAGATTCCAGGTACAACATCTGAGGTCTCTGTCCATAACAGTGCAGTCCTAGGATACTGTGCAGAACCCTCAAACTCCCAGGCCTCTGGTAGTTTAAGGATGGGACACACCAACCCCGGTATACAGATAGATAGATAGATAGATAGATAGATAGATAGATAGATAGATAGATAGAGAAAAAGGTAGGTAGGTGCGTAGGTGGGTGGGTGGGTGGATGGATGGATGGATGGATGCATAGACAGATAGATAGATAGATAGATAGATAGATAGATAGACAGATAGAGAAAAAGGTAGGTAGGTGGATGGATGGATGGATGGATGGATGGATAGATAGATGTAATGTATGTAACAACATACATTAACAGGGTAAACTCAATCCCAAAATATAATGGTGAACAGTAAATAAGGTTGCAAAAGCAGTTCCACAACCCCGCTTAACTATCCATCAAATTTCATTGAACTCTCATACCGTGTATCTCTGCACATGCTTGTATGTGTGTATATATGTATTTTTTTTTCTGAAACTGTTTTCCCCTTTCTATCTTACATTTTTTCTGTCTGTAATCTAAGTTATTGCGACTGTCAAATTCAACAAAATGTAATTCACAAAAATAAAGATATACCAGAAAATACATCTAGACTGAAAACATACCGTCCTTGGCCAAGATTGATGATTGACGATTGATTGATGAAGGAAACTCCTGTTCTAAAATTAAACAGAACAGTGGTATAATAGTGATGCACACTTTGACCACTAGGTGTCTCTGTTTCGTAAGAAATGGCACCACCTCGGGCCTTTAAACAGCAGGTACTTTCACACACACTTATCGCTCTGAGAATGCAGCAAAACACTAATGTAAGCCAGGGAAACACTGGAAACTGTTTCGACTGTTAAATTAAATTAATGTCGGCTAAACTTCGCCCCCACTCTCCTCGCTGCACAGACTTAAATCGATCACATGGCCTACCTGCAAGCTGCAGCTGCACTGACTCAAACTGTGGGCTGTGATAAACACTGAGAAACCAATCAGGCAGCAGTGAGCCGGCGCTGAGTTTATCTATTGGACCAAACTCGTGTCAATCACAGCAGACAAGCCCTGTGAAGCAGCGGTGAGCAGTGGCTGGCTGCAGTGCAAGAGATGTGAAGAATTATTTGCCATGCCACTGATTCGGGTAAGTAACTGTTTATATTTGACAAGGTGCTGCTGTGCTTTCACCTGCTGCAGGTGCAGTTTACTATAACGTACTTTCAGCTTCTAATTCAATATATGACATTGACCTGACGCTGTTATGATGCTAATGCGGAGTTTTGTGCATTAAATATTAATTGACAATAAATGCAAGTGCATATTTTTGGATGTTAGTTGCAGCTGGCAGCAGTAAAGCCTGCAGGAGAGTGTAAATAGGGCTGCCATCTTAACACTGACAACTGCACTCGGGTTTGTTGCAAGGTGACAGTAACCCACGGGATTATGTTATGATGTAAACAGTTCAGAGAGGTTGCCAAATGTTGAAGGGATCCATTGAAGCACATGTGAAAAATGTGCGCCTGTTTTGCTTGTAAACGTCTCAAACGGCTGCCGTAGCATTGGCCTCTGCATGTGTCGTCACCTTGTGTGACACTCTCAGGTTTTATGCGGCAGCAGCTTGTGAAATGTTGATGAAATGCGGTTTAGAGATGTTTCATGTACTCATACAACAATGCCGAAGAGGGGGATGAGGATAGGATGGGGTTAGGGAAGTATAATAGAGTCATTGTCTTGTTTAATGTCTGCAGTGTTGGATCTTATTTAGTTTTTAATTAGCAAATTGGTTTGACAGTGAAATATGGAGCGAACTAGCTCTGCAGTAGCACCCAAACTGTGAGAGAATGTTTATGTTGAAAATGTAAAGATTGTATTTTATGTAAAGTTTTAACTGACATCAGAAGTGCATTAAAGTCACTAGTAGGATTAACATGTTATTGGACATGTCTGCAGATTTACAGCTGTGTGCGTCTTTCTCTCTGACAGTATCTGGACAGGCCAGGTGATGAATAGCCACAGACCCTCCTCTACAATCCGAGCCCACTCACTCCATCTGGGGGCCAACCACTTCCAGAGCGCTTGAGTGATTACCATGGCACCCATCATGGAGGGCACACACACCGTGTTGCTCCTGTATGCACCCATCCGTGAGCTGAGCAACATCAGCCTGTATTTCCCCAAGAGGCGGGCCCCGAGCTTCAAATACAAGAGCCGCACCCCTCATTCAGGAAGGGCCGGTAATGACCATGACCGGGGAAAGGAGGATCTCGCGGCGTCCGAACAAAGGGGCCAGTCTTCATGCTCCTCAGGCGAACTCCTCATCTCCCAGCAGGCAACAAAGGAGGCAGTTGCAGAGCTCTGCTGGCTGGCGGCGGAGCACCACCAGTTCCTGACGGATCTCTTATCGCTGTGCAGGGATTGCGCCATCAAAGTCAGGATGGGTAACCAGGATGGGAAACTCCAGGATTTCATAGAGGGTCAGGAAGTTCACCTCGGGGGTCAGGTTCTCAGCGGCAGCAACAACATTTCTCTCACGGTGTCTCCAGAGCAGAAGACGGCTAAGAGCAAGAAGCTGAAGAAGCTGGAGGGCAAGAAGTTTGACAGTGCTGAGGAGTTCCTGCACAGCAAGATGAAGGAGAAGGTTACATCTGTTCAGCATCCTGGTTCCACATCTTCAGCCTCAGTAACGCAGCAGATCCCAGGTGCTCCAGCCTCAGGCCATCTTACTGACAGCCCAGCCACTGGCTCTTTTGTCAGCGCAGTCAGTAACCCCATCCTGCCCATGGAGGAACCCTTCCAGATCTCTCGTGAGGGTTGGGACTTCATGGAGGACAACCGGACGTATGACCCTGACATGGATTTCTGCAGTGACTTCTCAGAGTATGACAGTGAGCTGGGTTATGACTCGTCATACTGCAACCTGATGGAGGGCCTGACCAGACGGGAAAGCGGGAGCAACCTTCGACCACTGAAGAGGTCGGATTCCTTGGGTGAGACATTATCTGACAATTCGTCAACGGTCAAGTATGGTGAACTTAACCAGAGTCACAAAGGGGTGAGGGTGGTGGCCAAAGTGCAGGATGTGGAAGGGAGGGTGCAACATGTCAGCCATACAAGCCCAGGGTTGCATCCAGGGACTAGCAGCTGCCAGCAGCAGTACGGAGAGTGGAGAGGACCAAACAGAGACCACCTGCTGGGAGTCAATAAAGAAAAGACAGGTAACAGGCTTTCTGAGGGACTACGCTTGCCCCTATCCCATACCACCCAACCTAACCCCCCAGGCAAATCCCACACAAAGAGCCCCTCTTCCCCATCTCTTGCCGGGGTCTTCACCACATCCTTCCCTGCCTCCAACAGTCTCCAGAGCATGTCCCCGGTCCTGTCCCCTCTGTCCTCCAAGCAGGCAAGCCCGCAGCTCAACCACCGCATTGTTCTGCTCTCAGATAAGGACATAGACCACGAACGAGACAGCTCCAGCAACACGGACGAGCCCAAACTCTTCACCGAGGTCATTGACAAGAACGGGAACAAGCGCACCGTCACCCGTCTGGATCTGAACCTCAGCAGGCGGCCCAGCAACTGCAAGTGGAACTCCTCCAGCAACTCCACAACAACAGGTGAGCCATTAGAAATCACTCCGCACTGATTCATGTTCAGACTCCCTGCCTTGATGTGAATGTCGACACAAGAGCTTTTATCATCTTAGTGGAATGAAGCGTTTGTCAGAATGTGCCCTTCATCTGGCTTTGCTGCTGCTGGATTTCAAAGAACAGAACAAGAAAAGGATGCCTTGAGAGAGAGTCAAGTGTGTGAGTATGTGTGTTTGAAGTTGTTATTGAAATGCTGCAACAATTACTCTGCAGCATTTTACCTGACAAAGGGAGTTTGACTTTGTCACTTTGTCCATTATCTAACAAACTGGTAAGCCTAATAAATTAGCACTGCTTTCCAAAATGTCTCTGCTAGTCCTGTTAGTCTCCTGTCCTGGCTAAGACGTGTGACCACAAATTAAAAACTACCCAGCAGAGTTGAACAAGGGGCAAGCAGGGCCTGAGAATGCTCTCGCTGATGATCCATTTTAACTCTCTCAGCACCGCCGGGAAGGCAGAGATTAGTGGGAGTGTCTCAGATCAAAGGCTCAAAGTTGACACGGGGTTCGACCTGACCGGGGTTCTTGTGAGCGCGGTGTTAACTGAAGCATTGCCAATTTGGACTTTGAGGGATCCTCTGTCCCGCCCCTAAACCCACATCCTCTCTAGTTCACAGGAAACTGACAAAGGATCAGGGACCCAGCAGGCACAGGGGTTACACAGAAAGGGATTAGAGTTTCCTTATTTGCAGAACTCATTTACTCTTTCCATAATATGGACCACTGTATCTTCTACTTGTGTTTAACAGTTTTAAACACAGGAGGCCTTAGCATTATTGCATTAGTTCCCTCTGTAACGTGGCTCATCATCCCTTTCAGTCAGTGTGACACAATCTTTGCTTTACTCTGCAGCAGCAGCTGCAAACAGATGGCCTTACATTGATTATGTAATTTACTAATAGAGACCGTGGATAACTGTTGTACGTTATTCTGTCAGTGTAGACAGTTTGACCCTTAATTCAAGAGCTATGCTGCATTTTTAAGGAAGCTCCAGAGTATTGGAGCTGTTACATCACAGGCCAGCACTAGCTCAAACGATACAGCCTGCGATGCTCAGCTCAGCAGCAGGCGGAGGGAGGAGGAGAGCTGAGCTGTGCAGAGCTAAGCTAACTGGTGGATGGGGCTTTACTCATGTGGAGATGATATGGATCAATGCCCACTGAAATGAGGCTGTCCTTGTGTGTCCTCACCTGGGTATTCTCACACAAATGCTACTATTAGCATTTATGCACACACATAACCCACACATGTGGCGTCAGACCACACCCCTTTTTTATTAAATTCTATGTTTTCACAAGTGTAAAAAAAAAGTGATATGAGCACTGTTTTTTAATTTCCTGAGCATGGGTCTGGGCAAATATCAAAGTTCTCATCTCACTCCATGATTTTATAACCCGTAACCTGTGTGTGTGAGACTCTGACAGAGCATGATACACCTCCATTGTTGCCGACTTCATGTCAGCAAGATGCTTCATGCTGCAAACTCCTCACACTGAAGGCTTAAACCTCCTATCATGAAAAAGATCCCTCTGTCTTTTTGCTGCATCTTAGCTGTTTACCAGCTCGGCCTTGTGCTGCTCGATAATTGAATACACTTCAGATGTTAACACAGATAAACGAACATCACAGGGTCCAGCCAGCAGGGCTAAGTGGGTCAGTGTGAAGGCTGGCCCTTCATGGTTTGCAAATGTCCAACTAATTATGATCGGGGCTCTTTAATCTGTGCTCTCTTATTGAAGCTCTGTGCTTATTAATGAGTGCGATTATGCAGACGGGAATGGCAATTTAAAAGTAATAAATTCTCTTGTTTGCTTCATGTGCTAATGCTCGAGCACTGCAGTGTGTGGAACAGGAAACCCTGTGCATTTGCGAAAGATGTGCGTGTGGTTGTTATATGTGCGTTTGAACAACATCTGTTAGTTTCTCTGTACTGTATGTTGCTTGTTTTATTATACTTAACAGCTTTTTAGCATTTTAAAGCTGCACAAGAAACTTAAAGAGGACCTTGAATGCTCATTTTCAAGCTTGTACTTCTGTATGTTTCTACTAAAATACATTTACATGTTTTAATGCTCAAAAAACACTTTATTTTTTCTCAAACTGTCTGTGCTTGAACGCCTGCATTCGCTCTTTGTCTGTAACGCTCCATTTAGCGCCTGTGTCTTTAAGTTACTCTCCCATAAAAAGCCCAGTCTGCTCTGATTGGTCAGCATGTTCAGGTCTTCTGTTTCTCAGTGTCTCTGCTGTGTCATAGAGCCTGTTTAGACCTGGTATTAATGTGACATTTGGGTGATACAATCACAAGTGGACAGCACTGAATACAAGTCTAAACGACAACTAAGACACATTGTGATCCCATCACTCAAACCATTTGCTGAGATCTGGGAACCACTTGACCACGTATTTTTTGTAGTGTAAACACTGATGAGTCCTGATGCGAGGACTGCGTCATTGGTGCAGGACTTGGTGGTTGTTTTGGTAACAGTGTGCTAAAAGCTCTTAACTTATCCATTTAATGCTGAGTTGGACGAAATGTTGTGTGACCATGCATTGTTTTGCCCTGTAGAAAGATACGTGTTGAATTCTGCTTACAGTGATATCTCTGGTTGTACTGACACAACCTCTAAGGTGACTAGCGAGCATGCTACAGAGCAGCTGGAGACACATGATTCAGGTGTGAAAAGCAATGTGTCTTGGCTCACCAGGGTGCCCTCCACTGGGATTTGTCCATTGGGTTTTGAATTATTGCAGAGAATGAGCTCTGTGGCAAACAAAAGTTTATGATGCTTCGACATTTTGTGCAAGATAATGTCCACGAATGAGCATCACTTTATGATGTTTGAAGCAGAAAAGGCGAAACTTTGCCCCCACAGCAGGGCTGTAAATGCGGATGACATTCTGTGGTCTAATTTAGCCTCTTGTTAGCAACCACCTTTTTAAACACCTAAAAGCTTAAAAATTCACAAGTGGAGTATTTACTGACCTACTTTATGGTGGAGAACAAACCACTAAAGTCTCTTAAACTTGTGTTAATCACAGACCTTAATTCAGGCATCTAACCAAAAACAAACAGGAGGAGGAAACAGGAGCACTAAGATGTAACCCATTTTCAGGTATTAGGACTCATTTCTGCACCAATCTACTGCAGCCAGTAAACAGTAACAAAGAATAGTGTGACTTTTAACCATCAGATCAGAGCAGAAGTCTGATCTGACAACAGGGAGAAAAATAACATCAGCAACCAAGATTACAAGTGTCCCTGCTGTTAGCATGTAGCTTTATGTGGCAGTGTGGGCAACATTTTCAGTACCATTCCTGGAGCAGATGACCACTAGCTTTATCTGTGTGCTGTTAAGTGCTGAGCAGGTAGTCTACAGTGGGTTTTAAGAGCTTTTATATTTGCCTGCGGCTAGAAATGATGCAGAGAGCGGTGAGACTGAACCAAAACAGTAAAGCTGTGGGCCAGAAAACCAAAACAATTTGCTAAAAGACGCTTTAAAGCCCTTCAGAGAGTATCTGTGGGTTCTTCACTAAAAGCAGCCTTTTTCACATTACACTCAGCCACTATCGTTATAAGAGTATTGATTATAGCTGCTTTAAAACAATCAGCCATTAGTGTTGCTCTCTGTGTCTTTTTTATCCCCCCGTCCCTCCCTCCGTCCCCTACTTATTTTATTGTCTAACATATGGCAGGCAACACCCTAATCAGATTACACAATACGTTCCTGCAAGGTCATATGAAACTGATCATCGCATCCCACTCTCCCTGCTAGCTGTCATTCACCACAGAGTGCACTGCCATGCAGCATTGTTCCACCCAGTGAAGACAACAGCCAGCTCTATTCAGATAATGAAGTGGATTCTGCCAAAACAGGCAAAGAGAGCTTCTCTCCCAGTCTGTCTCACAGTGTTGTTCTGCAGAGAAACAGGGCACAAAGGTCTTTCTCATATGATGTGTAACTTGTTTTCTTTAATAAATGACTGCTACGCTACCACCTCGGCAAATGTTAGCTATGCTCTGTCTCATGCAGGAGAGGCTCCTCCGTAATGTCCCACTATTTTAAACATGCAGTGGACTGGAGCGCACATAACCAAATTTCCTGTCTCCCAGTCAATGCCCTGCCAGGCCCAATGAAGGCACCCTTCCTTCTTCCTCAGTTCTGTGTATCCCATCAGCCTCCAGAACCGCATTTCAAATGAGTAATGATGTCTGTGTGAGCATCGTGTCATGCTACATTGCTGCTCTGGCCCTCAGAACTACACAGCACTCATCCTGGAGTTTCCACTTGTGGCTACCCCTCACATGGACCTTAGCACCGACGGCCAGACCAGTCAGCCAATCAGCCAGCCTGACAGCCGTGCACGGCCGACGAGCCTGCTGTGACGGGCGCAAAAGAAACAGGGTGATTTATAAATCCTGCATTTTTCATGATTTATATAAAAGTCTATGATCCTTCTTGCTGGCTGAAAGTGATGGAGGGGGGTGGAGGCTGCCAGATGCACTCAGCATGCCACATGGCCCAGTTCTTTTACTTTGAATGATGAGGTTATAGATTTTTAGCGGATAAAATAGGGCAGAGTGGGCAAAGCTGTTTCTCTAATAAGAACGAAAATCTGTAGCGTGAGAGGCGTGTTAATTTGGAAAAGCTCCGTTTATAGATATGCATATCGATGTTCCTCCTTTTTCTCGTTTGCAGTAGTCGCTTATTGATATCAAAGAAATCACTCATTGGTGCTTTCACTTCTAGTGATTTCATGTCTGCTCTGTTGTGTTCAGTAACAGCCTCTGCTAAGCTTCCTCCGACCACTGGATGAGTGATGACCAGCCGACAGAGTGAGAGGTGGATTCATCACCCCTGACAACACCCACCTGTCAGGATCAGACACGAGATGGCCTCTGAGCTGCGCCGAACACAGATACTTTATTGTTGAAATCACAATGCTCACGGTAGCACGGAAACACCCACGCCGTCTGACAGCGGCTCACTCACAAGCTGTGATTTTCACTGTCAAATTACTGCACTGTCAGTCCACACCTGCAGGTCTGCTGCAAGCAAACACCTGTATGTATGTACATGTCTATTAAAGTGTCTTTGCTGAAGTGTAGTGGTATGCTGTTGCCTGTATGACAGACTCAATCCCATCTGCACCCTGTGTCCCCGTAGATATGGACACTGTGGCTCAGTCTCAGCTTTTAGAGCAGCAGGGGGGAGATTAAATAGCAACAAACTCACAGTTGTCCCCAGGGACAGTCAACTTAAGCCCTGCATGTGTGTGTCTGTGTGTGTGTGTGTGTAAGAGTGTGGTCCCTTCATATCCTAATGCATCTAAGAGTTGCTTCTCATCTGTTTACTGTCATTACATTCCAGTGTTGCACATTGCTTCACTTTGCCTTATTCCTGTAAGTGACAGTAGAGCTTCGCTGCAGTGTGTGTGACTACAGGGAGCGATGCATGCATTGTTTTCTGCCTGTCCAGATGGGGGCAGTGTGGGCCACCTTACACTTAGGTGACTGATTGGCAGACATGCACAACATCAAGACTGTTTAAGTTATGTTTTGGGAGTCACGAAGGAACATAGCAAACATATTTCAGAAGGCGTTCATTGTTTACCTGTTTCATTTAATTAATAGTTAAGATAGAATTGTGGGGAGAGCTGTTTCTGATCACTTGTTTCCTTCCTTGGCCTGGACCAGGCTTAACTCTGCATTTGGAAGTCTCCCAACTTACAGTCAGCAGTTCCCACTGCAGGGCCATGCAGTACAGCATTATCATAATGAAAAGTTATTAATCTAATCCTTTTTTTCCCCCGCTGTCCAAGTCCTAGATAACTGGAGGGACTGCAGGCATTGCTGCTGTCTCATAATGACTGATTGTGGTGAAGTACTGAAGCTGAATTTCAATGCCTCCATTTTTTAATGAAGCCCCCCCAGTTAGTTCTGTGTGTGGGGGCTCATAACTGAATTTAAAGCACTTGGCTGAGACTCAAGACACTGGGGGAGCTATACAAAGGGACTTCCGAGGCTGCTGTGCGGCAGTACAGTAATACTGTACGTCCTCATCACTAAGGGAAGTTATTGGATATGTTAGCAGCATATCGAACAGTAAGCGATCTGATTTTTCTCAGTTTGCAGCTCATAATTCTGCCCAAGCGGGTCAAGGCGTTGTCTTACAGCTGGAGGAAATTGAGGTCAACAAGCTTCAAGATCAGCCCCCCTCCCCCACTACTTCCTTTACTTCTTACTCATTCTTTCACCTCACTGCGCTATATCTTCCAAGTCGTACTTTTCCACCATTTTTCTTGCATGTCTGACTCTTTTGAGGCAGTAAATGCTTGCATCAAGGCAAGATATATCATGTTTTTGTGCGCGTGAGAAGAATGTGAAATTGCATTGCTGCTCCTGCGCCCTGAGTGCCTTCTGTGTGAGGCGCTGGCCTGGTTCCTGAAGTTAATATCATGTGACTTGTGCGCGGCGTAGCGCATGGGGACGGTTCTGCAGGTTGGGGCTGTGTCTGCAGCGTGTCACTGAGCAGTAAATATTAAAGGCCAGGTGCTCTGAAATGCACAGAATGGATCCAAACTCCAGCACACTGCAGCAAAGACACCACAGAGGGAGAGATTATATTTAAATTTTAAAATGTACTCTGTTTTCTAAGCAGTGCTTATCATCACAGCTCACACACCACTCTCTGTGTGACTGCCTGGTCAGGAGAGGGCAGTCTTTCCCAATCTAAATAAAGGTTAAGTGCTGTATTGTCAGTCCTTAGAGGCCTTTGGATGGCAAACGCTCACACAGACTCCACACACCCATGCAGCTGACCTTATTGTAGCACAGTGGTAGTGCTGAGCAAGACTGTGGCTCTTACAGTGGACATGTCTTGAATGCAAATCAATGCTAGGATCTTTTTTTTTTTTTTTTAGGCCAGTGCTCTGCAGCCATTTTTCCTTATTGGATCATTCGAGCTTTCTGCTGGTGTCGACGATGGGAACAGAGCTGGCTAAGTGCTGATAAAAATAGCCGTGTGCCCTGAAGCCTGCAGCAAAACATTGGTCTCTCTTGCTTGATGCTAAAAGATCCTGATGCCTGCTTGCTAAGTGGTCCCACTCTTGTTCCCCATGCAGGTTACGCAGCCTCAGTCAGTGCTGCTCATTCAGCCTCATCAGCAATGATCACACTTATTATTTTGCTGTGTGTTTCCATGCTATGCTCCCTTGCTCAACACAGAGTGCTAATTACCCTGTGGTGGTGTGTTTGTTTGTTTTTGTGTAGAGGATTCCCTCTTGCGTCAGGATGACATTTGGATGCTGGATGGCGATGACCCTCAGGAGCCTCTTTCTCGTGTTCCACGCCCAGATCACCTGGACTTCCTACGCATCACACCACCTGAGGATGACATCATGGGGGACACACCCTACTGTCCCAAGCTGGAATGCACGGTGAGGGCCCTCAAGCAGGACAAACACTAATCTCAGTAAACAGATATCTGCAACGGAACAAGATTTTAGTATCGGAAGCATTCTGGTTACTGTTTCTAGTCTGTTGTCCGAGTAGTATTGATGTATCACATTTCAGCAGGCTTTGGTTGCGTGAAGGTAAACAGTCCATGTGGAGAGCAAAAGAGGAGGAACGCATCTAGGAGCCCATCAGCAACTGTCTGACAACTATTTAGCTTTATATTAGCTTTACTGGAACTGGTCGTAGATGTCTTCTCTCAACGTCAAGTCCATTCTTGTGTCTGAAGTTGCTAATCAGACTGTAAACAATGAGTGGTGCACAGTAGAAGAAGTCTTGGCATGGATATCATCATCTGGATATCCACTGGCTACACCGCGACTCTTGAAGGATTGGCCGTTGCCCCCGGAGGCCATCGCTAGACCAAAAACCGATGGGTTCCAAAATTACACAAACACTTACATTCGCAATTAGTTGACAAGTCAATTAAACGTTGCTACCCTTGCTAGTAGGCACCAGAAATACAAGTCGGTTAAACTTAATATTAAAGTTATTAGTGTGTTAAGCCATTGCATTTACTCAGTGAAAATGCCATTGTTATAATGAGGCAAGTTTCCTAAAGATTTACTCTCCTGAAGAATATTATTTATAATAAATGTTTTTTATTAGCTTTTATTTAGGGAGCTGTTGTCATGATTTGTAGCATGATGTACAGTGTTCATATTGCATGGTTCAAAGTTTCAAACATTTTAGCAGTAACTGAAAAATGTGACTAACAATTAGGGGTGGAAAAAATCGATACAGCAAAGCATCGCGATATTTTGGTGTGGCAGTATCGTATGGTATCGTAATCCTATTGTAAGCATCTGAGGAAGAGCCCTTTGGCTCGAAACATCATGCTGAAATAAATACTCAGTCTATTGGAGCTTCTTGGTGTGCAGACATTAGCTATGTTTCCATCCAAAAGTGATTTGAATCATTGGGAAATGCATATTAAAAGAAATTCGAATCCTGTGTGTTTCCATTAAATGTACGGACTTTGGTGAAAACTACGAACTCGCACGAGTTTTCCGCAGAACCGGAAACAAAACAAGTCTCACATTCTTCTTCTACGTTTTCTGGCGGTTGGCAACCAGCTTGTAAATGCATTACCGCCTTCCCGACCCGGAGTGTGGATATCACCATGGAGAGAGGTGCGCTACGTCAGACTTAATTCAAACATAACTGTTTCCATCCCCCATTTTGCGAATCAGCATTTTTTGCATCAACCAAAAACTGGCTAAAGCGAGCGTATCTTAGTTTGTGCGAATCAGGGGATTTTAATTCGAATTTTGGTGTTTCCATCATAATTTTCCAATGCGATACTTCTAGATGCGCATCTAAACAGGCTGATGGAAACATGGCTATTGTTTCTCGTTTCTTGAAATATCGTATTGTCACACAGTGCCAAGTATCGTTTTTTTATTAAATAAATTATTAATATGACAAATACAAATTAAATTGCTTTTTTAGTCCACTGCATACATTTTGCTGCAGATAAAATGATTGTAGTGACTTATTAGAAAAAACAGATGTTGACAAAGTTTACAGTTGAAAAAAGGTAATAAATCGCAATATATTTTATCGCAATACTCACTAATCGCAACATGTTTAAAATCACAATAATATTGTATCATATCTTAAGTATCATGATAACATCATATCGTGGAGCCTCTGATGATTCCCACCCCTACTAACGATTTCAGATGGCTCTTATAATATGCACAATATTTTTTTGGACAGTGTGTACCCGTAAAGTCTAAACTGTTAAATCTGTTTTCTCAGTGTTTTCAGGGTGTTCAGGGAAATTAGTCGTGAGGAACATCCCTAGTAATGTGTATTTTCACACCCAGAGTAGTGTACCATAACATTCTTTTTTCCCTCCCCTCGTGGGACTTGTGGGTATTTCTCTCCAATCGGGCATTCAACCACCTGATCATGAATTCTTAGAAATGGATTAACAGGTCATGGATTCTAATCTGTCGACTGGGGTCCTGAGCCACAACCAACTGAGATCACTCCACTCAAACCTCTTTCGTTTAGAGCAAAGACAGGAAAAGCTCTCCCTCTCTTTGAGCATTTCCAGAACATTTTTTCAACCTTGCTGTGAAAGCTGTGGGCTGTTAGCAGTAATTAGAGTGATTTGTCTTTGTTTTTGAGAAGAAGTTGCAACAGGATCTTTTGCTTGCCACAGTGCATGCCCCTGATGTAACCCTGTGGTGCAGTATGTGTGTCTTCTAAAAAAGGCCTGCAGCAAACAACACATAGTTTGTTTCCAGTTGTTTGTAGGTTTTAATGTGTAGTACAGTGACAGAAGCACCTAACTGAACTTCTTAATCTATCTGAGATAGAATGATGTAGAAAGCTATTTCCATCTCTACGTCTGTCCAGATTCCAACATGCTGTCTGGCACAGGCGTTCATTCCTGTTGCAGATGAGGCAGATTATCTGGGTGTGGCTTTAGGCGGGTAGTGTATCGACGCAAGCCACACATTGTTCTCCCAAGAAGGCACAATAACTGCCCTGACTGTGAGCATGATCAGTTAACATACCAGCACAAAGGCCGTGCTGTACAGAATTAGGCTCTCTG